GTGTGATCATAGCTCACTGCAGCCTCAAACTCCTGGGCTCACCAATCCTTCTGCCTCAGCCTCTGGAGTAGCTGGGACCACAGGCATGCACCACCACACTTGGCTAATTTTTCTTTTTTTTTTTTTATAGAGATGGGGTCTTGCTATATTGCCCAGGCTGGTCTCCAACTCCTGGCCTCAAATGATCCTCCTGCCTCAGCCTCCCAAAGTGCTAGGACTACAGGTGTGAGCCACTGTGCCCAGCCTCTTCCCAGTTTTCTTATCCTTCACATCCTACCCTCTACAGGACACAATGATTGAGGAGCCCAGAGTCAGCGCTATCTGAAGCAGCCTCCTTGCATCTGGAAGGGTGTGGATCCTTGGGGGAAGCCACAAAACAAAGCTCTTTCCTGCCCCCCACCCATCACCTTTCCATCGCCAATGTGCTTCCCACTAACCCAGGTGATCTGGTCCCACAGGCACATGCAGTCTCTTGGCTTTTCCCTTTTAACGCCCTCCCCACCACTCCCTTGCACTTTCGATATCCCAGATCACTGAGTGTACATAGGAAGGGACGGGTGGTGGGGACATAAAGGCTGTAGGGGAGAGAGGGGCTTGGCTAGAGAACAATCCCCCAGGAGAATCTTTGTCATGGCAGAACTAGAAGGGCCTACAGCTGAGACTGTTCTTTAACAGATAAGGAAACTAAAACCCTGGAAGGAAAGTGACATTCCCAAGGCCACTAAGCCAGTTAGTGGCACAGATGGGACCAAAAACCTGTGTTACACACTCAGCTCTTTTCGTGGACTCTGTATGTCAACAGAGAGAGAGATGAAGGGGAGTGAATGACTCATTCTGTTTCTTGGTATTTATTACCGGTTACTATTAGTTGAGGGTCAAGAAAACACACTGGGCTGGGCGCGGTGGCTCACGCCTGTAATCCTAGCTCTCTGGGAGGCCAGGGCGGGCAGATTGTTTGAGCTCAGCAGTTCGAGACCAGCCTGAGCAAGAGCGAGACCCCGTCTCTACTAAAATTAGAAAGAAATTAATTGGACAACTAAAAATACATAGAAAAAAATTAGCCGGGCATGGTGGCGTATGCCTGTAGTCCCAGCTACTCGGGATGCTGAGGCAGGAGGAGCCCAGGAGTTTGAGGTTGTTGTGAGCTAGGCTGACGCCACGGCACTCTAGCCTGGGAAACACAGTGAGACTCTGTCTCAAAAAAAAAAACTGGGTGAGTTACATTTTTGTCCAAGAAGCTTTTCATAATATTAATAATAACTAACATTTGTATAGTGCTTTAGAATTTACCAAGCTCCTTTACATATAAGTTTTAATTAAATTCCCCAAAATAGTCCTGTCAAGTGGGGGAGTATTACTGGCCCATTTTTACAAATGAGACACAGGTTCAGAGATGTTTCATTATGGTTCGAAGATGTTCAGGAAGTGGAGTGATTAGGACTAAAACTAGACAGACCACAAAGTCTGGAGGGGCAAGGACTGTCCCATTCATCACTGTACCCCCAAAACCTAGCTCACTGAGGCATGACTAAACAAACTTCAGAACTTCTTTGGATTCTTTAAGTTGTTCTTTTTTTTTTTTTTTTAAGACAGAGTCTCACTCTTTTGCCCGGGCTAGAAGTGAGTGCCATGGCGTCAGCCTAGCTCACAGCAACCTCAAACTCCTGGGCTCAAGCAATCCTTCTGCCTCAGCCTCCCGAGTAGCTGGGACTACAGGCATGTGCCACCATGCCCGGCTAATTTTTTCTATATATTTTTAGTTGTCCAATTAATTTCTTTCTGTTTTTAGTAGAGACGGGGTCTCGCTCTTGCTCAGGCTGGTTTTGAACTCCTGAGCTCAAACAATCCACCCGCCTCGGCCTCCCAGAGTGCTAGGATTACAGGCGTGAGCCACCGCGCCCGGCCATCTTTAAGTTGTTCTTCATAAACCTTTTTAACTAGGGCTCTAGCACTGTGGGGACCCCTTTTGTGGCCCTCCCGTGAAAGAGGTATGTTTATTTATTTATTCAGAGGACAGGCTGTCGCCCAGGCTCAGGTGTGGTGGCACGATCATAGCTCACCGTAACCTTGGACTCCTGGGCTCAAGTGATCCTGCCACCTCAGCCTCATAAAGCCAAAGCACTGGGATTACAGGCATGAGCCACCTTGCCCAGCTCGTATATTTAGACATAAAATCAGCTCAACAAAGACAAACCCAAGTCACACAAACAGGAAGATATACCCCCTTGGCTTGGTACTTAACATTCAATGTTTTTTCCAGGACCTGGGCTACAGGACTGGACAATTAAGGACATGGGGAAAGGCTGCATTCCTTGCCCTGCCTTAGAAAGAGCTGTGTGTCTGCTCAAGTGGAGATACCCCAGATGGCCTCAGTCAGCCTCCTCCAGGGCCAAGAAAGCAGCTGGACAGCAGAGGGCGCTGCAGAGCCACAGACCTTGCCTGTGCTGTAATCTGCTCTGAGGCCAGCGAGTTTACAGAGAGATGTGGGGTGCTCTTAGGCCTCAGGCGTTCTGTGATCCTATGGCAATTTTTCTTCTTTTCTGCAGAAACCCGATTGACACCTGAGAGGCAGCCAGCAGGGGTTGGTGGGGAAGGAGGGTAGAGAATGAAATATTTGGAGTTGGACAGCTGGTTTTGAATGCCACTGCATCTTTTTGAACTGAGTGACCTCAGCTAAAGAACTCATTGAGCTTCAGTTTGTTTCTTCATGTGCAAGGAAGGATATTAATTCTGTTGTGCAGAATTAGAGATGAGTTTGTATCAGGAGCCTCGTACAGGGCCTGAGGTTGAACAGCCATTCCGTGCTTATGTATGGAGGGCCCGCTCTGTGCTGGGCACGGTCCTTGGCACTGGTGAGTCCATGAAGGGCAAAAAGTGAACATGGCCCCTGCCCTCACAGGACTCTCAGTTCAGTAGGGAAGACAGATTTTCATCAAATAGCCCCACAGACAGATTACAAATCACACATGTGCAATTAAGTGCAACAAAGGAGTGGGCTTAGAGCTAGGTGAGGAGGAAGTGCCGAGGCAGGGAGATCTCCCTAAGGTCATGAGGAGTGAGTTCAAGCTGAAGCATGAGTAGGAGTTTACTAAGCAAAAAGAGAGGGGAAAGTATTCCAAGAAAAAGGAAATGCAATGCTCACACGTGTGGAAGTCTGACACAAGGCTAGTGGGAATGCAAGAGACAGAAAACAACATGGAACTTGGTGGGAAATGTGGCCACTGAGGCAGGGTCAGATCACACAGGGCCCTATAGGCCTCCCTAAGGAGTTTCATCTTTAGCCTAAGAACAATGGGAAACCATGAATGATTATAATCACAGGCCATGAATAAATTTTCATTTCAAAAAGGTCCCTCTGGCTGCAGGACTCAACCCTGCTCCCTCTTCCCCTCAATGCACCCTCAGGTACTGAGGTTGCTAAATTCTACTGGCTGATCCTACCTCCTTATCCCTTGGGTACCTCAATATCTCCCCCTGGGACTATTGCAATGGGTTCCTAACTGGTTTCCCTGCCTCCAGCCCCACCTCATCCACACAATAAGCTTGATCTTATTTGATCCTTACAACATGCCTGTAAGTAAGCAAAGCTACAACCCTTATCGCTATTTTACAGATAAGAAAACTGAGGTTTTGCCGTGCTATGGAGCTGGCTCATACCAGCTTGTGAAAGTCAATTGTTAAAACTTCAGAAATTTTGCTAACCAATTGTTAAACACAAGACACTATTAAAAATTAAATTATACAACTTAAATTATATTAAAAACAAAGGTAATGAATTATCAAAACTCATCATTTCCTAATCATTTTACTTATGCTCATGGGATTATTAATGTCTATTGTATCTGTATGATTAAACTACTACATAATGGTATGTTACAGCTCATCTCTCCCAAACCCTGTGTCTAGTAAAGCGAAGTTGATGGATTGAAATCAGCCATGGTGGGAGTATATACCCCATGGAACCAGACAAATGTTACAAATGAGGGCTTAATTTACTGTGTTGTTGATTATCTAGATTTAAGAAAGTGAGGGAGAAAGTGTTAATACTTTAGATGTATTATGTCTGTAGCCGTTACATTATGAATAGCAGAAAAATGGAGGAAATATTCTTCCAGTATTTGAAACTGTTTTCTGATTCAACAACGAAGTCACTCATACTCATATGCATGCATTCCCTCCCCTCCACCAGAACCGGTTGTTAAACGTGTATCAGCACACCACTGGATCCAGATACATTATTCATGTAGTCATTCACTGGTTCCCAGGATGGGGACACAGATTAGTGGTGAAATGACTCGGCCAAGGTCACACATCGCAAGCGGCATAGGCAGGACAAGAATCATAGGTACTCCCGAGGCCAGTGGCTATCTCCCAGGACCAAACTATGCTTCCCAATGCCGCTTCACTCTATCAAGAGAGATGCTCCGGGCCTGGGCCCCCAGGAAGTGAAAAGCAAGGGCGGAGGCAGGAGACCAACGCCCGCAGAGAACCAGCTCACAGCCAATAGCGGCCCGGGGCACACGTAGCGTCACGCGCCGTGGAGGCCGGCGCGAGCTCGCCCTGGGGAAAGGGGCGTGGTCAACTTTTCCCGGAAGTGACGTTGTCGGGGCGGTCCTCGGCGGCGGCGGCGCGCGGCCTGGGCTCGCGCTGGGCTCCGCGCGTCCCCCGCCCTCCTCTATGAGGCAGAGGCCGCGGCGGCCGTTAGCGCTGTCGCTCCGGGGGCCGCGGCGGGCGGGGCTCCGGCGGGGCCCGGCCTAGTCCCCACCCCAGCCCCGCTCCCAGCCGCCCGCCCTCCCTCCCTCTCCCTGATGCAGGGGGCCGAGCTCCGGGATGGCGAGGCGGCGGCGGCCGCCGCTTCGTACCGCGTCCTAAGCCGCCTTCTCGGCTATGGAGAGACGGCCCCCGAGCCAGGCCCGCCGCCGCCGCCCCCGGGCCATGGCCCCCCGCCGCCACCCTTCCTCTCGCGGCCCGGCGCGCGGGGCTCCCGGCCGCCGCAGCTGATGGTGTTCCGCAACGTGGGTCGGCCGCCGGAGGAGGAGGACGCGGAGGCGGCCCCGGAGCCGGGACCTTCGGAACTGCTGTGTCCCCGGCACCGCTGTGCCCTGGACCCCAAGGCCCTGCCGCCGGGGTTGGCGCTCGAGCGGACCTGGGGCCCCGCGGCTGGACTAGAGGCGCAGTTGGCGGCTCTAGGGCTTGGGCAGCCGGCGGGGTCGGGGGTCAAGACGGTCGGTGGGGGTTGCTGCCCGTGCCCATGCCCCCCACAGCCGCCCCCTCCGCAGCCCCAGCCGCCTGCTGCCACCCCGCAGGCCGGGGAGGACCCCACGGAAACGAGCGACGCGCTGCTGGTTCTAGAAGGGTTGGAATCGGAGGCCGAGAGCCTGGAGACTAACAGCTGCTCGGAAGAGGAGCTCAGCAGCCCGGGTCGCGGAGGAGGAGGGGGCGGCCGGCTTCTGCTGCAGCCCCCAGGCCCTGAATTACCCCCGGTGCCCTTCCCGCTGCAGGACTTGGTCCCTCCTGGGCGCCTGAGTAGAGGGGAGCAGCAGCAGCAACCTCCCCCGCCCCCACCTCCTCCGGGGCCCCTCCGGCCACTCGCGGGCCCTTCTCGGAAGGGCTCCTTTAAAATCCGCCTCAGTCGCCTCTTTCGCACGAAGAGCTGCAACGGTGGCTCCGGCGGTGGGGATGGGACCGGCAAGAGGCCTTCTGGAGAGCTGGCTGCTTCAGCTGCGAGCCTGACAGACATGGGAGGCTCTGCGGGCCGGGAGCTAGACGCGGGGAGGTGAGACCGGCTGGGGGGCTGGCTGACAAACTTCCTTTTCTTGTTTCTTTTCCCCATTTTTCTCCTGCTGACCCGATCCTCCTGACAATTCTTAAGATGCGGTCTTCATGAGGAGGCAGAGACTTGGGACCAAAGGTGGTGACATCTTGCATTAGGTCAGAGCTAATTGTGGAAACAGCTTTCACTCTTTAAAATAGAGTTCACGCTCCATGACACTTCTCAGCTGGTTAGCATCTCTGTTGTTGGAAGATGATTTGAAACCATCTCCCCATCCCCACCCTGGCATGGGTTTTTAAGTTTTTCAGAGGTATCTGTCTGCCATTGCTCCTGGCAGGAAGGTTGCTCAAAATGTTTGGCCTTTGGTGCAAAAAGCTGGTGTTGGATCTTGCCCACCTTGCTTATTAATCTGTGTAACAGCACCCCACCCTCCTTCACACTCATGCATACAAATGACATGGGGAACTTCAAATGCACTTGGAGGCCAGCAATCAGTTGGGCATCTCTATTCAAAGTTTTAGTGTTTTTCTGGTTGTTCCCTTAGATATACTTGGTATCTCAAGCCTGTGTGCTGACCACTGTCTATGAAAATAGAAAATATCTTTGCTCTCTCTCAAGCCCATTTGAGAATTCTAAGTATCAGGGAGTTATAGAGTATAGATGTTTGTATATGAGTTCTAGGCCAGTTGATGAAAATCCCAAACTTAGACATTGAGTTTTTTCCTGCATTTCTGAAGGGTGGACTGATCTTTGACATCCAATGTTAGATCTGTAGTGTTGGTTTAGAAAGCTGTCAACTTTTGCGTCAATGAAATGAGACTTGTCTTGTGGTAACTGCCATTGTGGTTTGTACTTCTGAATGGGTTCTGAGAAAGATTGGAATTGGTTTTGGTGTGGTTTATGTGATGGATTCTTGAGACACTGACAGCTGTAAACCAAGGCTAGAGAACAAGTGTAAATTGATAACCTTACTGTGTGCTAGAATCACTTGGGGAGCTTTTTGAAAAGATGGGTATGTCTGGGGCCTAAGAGTTTGAATTTTTAAAAAGCTCCCCAGTTGATCTTGGACTAGAAACCACTTATGCATGGACTTCTCAAGGGAACTTGGGTACTCCAAGAAGAAAGTGTTTTTTGGCTTTCTTGCCCTTTCTGAAGAGCTGTGCTGGGCTCAGTTCAGCTGGGCTCATCTTGGGGATCAGGCCAAATCCAAACTTCCTAAAGAAGTCAGTGTGTTGTCCCTTGAGGTAGGCCAGTGTGTCTGCATTTCCCTCCCAATGAATTCATGCTGGGAGCTCAGTTCTTAAAAAGTATGTGGCTGCTGAAACAGCTTTTTTTGTGGTAGGCTCTGTATTCAATGCTCCACTTACCAGTACAGATGAAATTTTCATCGGGTTGGGGGTGGGATTGAAGCTATGGGCAATGACCTAGGATAGATTGCTAATTTTCTTGTGGTTTGTCTTGCCTTTGTTCCATATTGACCAAGACTTAGTCTAAGATTCCAGAAACACCAAATAGGAGGTGTGGCGTGAAATTAGCTGCTACATCTAATAGATTAGGAAGAGGAAAGGCATATGACATTATACGGTTTTTTGCCTTTGGAAGCAGAATTTAATGGTCATTGGCTGCTCTGCCACCAACCCTCAACTAAGCACAATACGGATTTCTGCTGCAGAGCAAATTGGGCTATAGCTCTGCAAAGAAGCTTAGTTCAGGGCACTGGAGAATTACATTTTTTGGTCCAAGGGCTTTTTCTGATGAATTGGAGAAGAGCTAGGTATTTGTGTATAAACGTTTGGTTGACTGCTGTTTGTAGGCAGCATGTTGAACAGGGAATGTGAAAGTCTAGATCCCATTTAGAACTCCAACATCAGCTGTGAGATGGAGGGCAAATTTGTGATCTTCATGCTTCCCTTTTTTCCCCATCTATAAAATGGGAGAGTGATGACTGTTGTTCTTGTCCTTATAGGAATAGATTGTCGACAAGAGATATCTAGATGGAATATTTTGTCCTTTTTAGAAGACAAGTAATAAGACTGAACTGGTAAATTTTTTTATGCTTAGGATTTGGTGCTGCTTCTTAGCTTTTCCACAGCTTACTATGTGCCAGTCTTGCTGGCAGCCTCACAGCTGTGAGAAACTTGGTGAGTCTGGCCAGGGTAGTTGTGATTTCTGTGGATCTGCACCTCCTAAGTAAGTCTGCAATGTTGGGAGGAAGGATGAGTTTGGAATTTTAGCTTGTTCTCTTGTTTTGATGGGTAGGACCTGGAAGTGGTGAGAAATTTCAGTCTTTTGCCAAAGGGTATATGCCTTCCTCCTTGTTGGTTGGAGATAATTATGGGCTTCTGCAGTCTTTGCTGTGCAATGTGGGGTTTTAATAGTAACCTCTGGGCATAATATCTTTACTTTTCTCAACATCTGCCTCCCTGCAATCATTTTATAAGGCTTAACAGTTCCCATATTTTAACACTAAGCAAATCTTCCTTTCAGATGCTTTTGAGTCTGCTAAGTGGACCTGCCTTGATACACTGCATCTTAATATAGTATGAGTTAGTTTAGAGAACTCTTTTTAAGTGAAGTAAGAAGTGGACCCACCAACTAACCAGGTTTCTGTTCTGAGGAACTGAGCTAGGCCTTATAACATACATATGTTGGAATTCAAAGAGCTGGGCTTGATGCCTGTGGGCCTCGGTGCAATATAGAACTGCTATTTCAGGAAAACCAGTGGAGTTCCCTTGTCTGTTTCTCATATGTTGACCTGATTGTCTGTCTTCTTTTGGATTTGGTGAGAAATAGCATTTGATCTGACCATCTTTAAGCATCATGTAATACACACTTGGTTGGAAATAGGTCCCTTGTTCACGTTTCAAGATTTGTTTTTACCAAGTTAACAGTTGTGAGGCTATTACTGGCAGTCTTCATAGCAATGAGGTGGAGAAATAGAGAACCATTCTGCAGTGGTTTCCTATCTATTTGAGAAAAAAGATACAATTCTAGAAAAAGAGGCAGGCTTCCTTAACCCCAGTTTTAGGGCCCTCCTGACACGGACAGACCTGGCAGACATGAGAAACCTTTTTCACTGTTTTCTTGGGTCTTCAGGTCTAAAGGGGTCTTTTTCAGTCATAGCATGACATGTTGAGAGCAAATGATTTTATGTTTGGGGGTGTGGTCCACACACTGTTGATCTTTTTAACTATTTTCCACAAAGTGTCTGTGGTTGGCAGCTCTCTTTTAGAATGAGCTCCCTGGCTTTAAAAATCTCTCTCTGTCCATTTGAGTCTTGTGCCTTTCACTCCTTAACATTCTCCCTGCCAACATCATTCTTAAGGTTTTAGACCTTGGACTATGCCTCTTGGCTTTTCCCTGGAAGTTCCCTCTGTAGGTTCTGTAGTTAAAGTTTTGGATCTGACCTTGCTGCACAGATGTCTGTGTATTGGAACTAAAAATGAACACATGGTTTTTGTGCCTGTAGCACATGAACAGACAGTGGCTTATGACATGTTGGAAATGGCACAGGCTGGCTGACTTGGCACTGTGTGCTTTAGCAGGGGCAGAGGTACATTGGAGCTGTAAAACCTGATATTTGGACATCCTAATTTGGAAGTTAGTTTTAGAAAAGGACATGTAAAATCTTAGGGCGTCAATAGAGGGGATTTATGGGCAAGAAAGGGAGGTCATTACTATTTCATTGTTTATATTTTAGGTTCCAAGGAATTTGAAAACTGGCCAATGGGTACATTTACATGTTGTTGTTCTGTCTAGTCTAATGCTTTTAACTCCTTTTAGCCCATAAATCTGTTGCAGTACAATTCATAATTTGCAAAGAGGAAATGGATAGAGGCATTCTGTCTCTTTGTTACCTACGGCACAGGCAGTAGCAAAGCTGACACAAAGGACTGCTAGCCTTAGAGAAGACCTTTGCCTAAGGCCCTCTGTCCCTGTCCTGTTCCGTTACCTGAAGCATAGCCCATCAAATCCTATCCCATCCCACCCTACCCCTCAAGTCTTTCTACTAAGATGCAAGTGGCCCACTGGCAAAGTTACAGTGGCGTAATTGCACCCTAATGGTCGTCAATGTGATCTGGGGAGGAATAAATAACATGGAAGTGTAGTATAGAAGGGTTAGTTTAAAACGATATCTGGAGCCGTATCATTCATACTGCTCTCCAAAAAACAGCAGGTCAGCTTAGAATGGGCTTTCATCATTCCAAATGGTTCATACATACAAAAGGGGATATATAAAGTACGTGTACTTGAATAATAATAAAATATATATACTTAGGCACCCATCACTAACCTTATCAAATAGAATGTTATCAGTGCCTTTGAAGAGCTGAATGTTGCTTCCTAATTACATTTTGCCCCTCCCCCAGGTAACTACCATCCTTAATTCTCTGTGAATCATTCCCTTGCTTTTTTTTTTTTTTTTAATAGTTATCTAGATTGGTCTTTTCATGAATAACTGCTATTAGAATGCTCTCAGGATACTTGAGACAGAAACTGGTTTGGGTTTTTAGTTAGGCAGTGTCTCCCTGAAGAGAAAAGGAAGCACACATATTTATCAGTAGCCTTTCAGCCTCTCAGACCTCTTACCTCTGCAAGCTTCCAGCCATGAGGTTCCCTTATTTGCCAGGAAAAACTATCCTGGCGCTCTCACATGGCTTTGCCTGGATTCAGATGTTTTTCTTTTTCTAGATCCTAGAAACTATGATTTTTCTTTTTCAAAATGCTGGGGGTGGGGAAGAAGATGAGCCGAAGTGAGAAGGCCTCCGCAAGATGTGTGCATTTGGGTCCTGCCGTTCTTCAGTGCTTGGCACTGAAGAGACTCGTCCCCAGCATGGGCAGATGGCAGAGTAATGCAGCTTCCTTTGAAAAGAGGCAAATGGCCAAATGGCTGAGGTGTGAACCTTTTGAAAGGCCAGTGCTTTAGGTTTCTACTTGCTGAGTTTAATGTTGTCCCCACAAGTTATCAAATAAAAATCAGCTTGGAAGCTCTTCAGCAGTCTTAAAGTTCATGTCCAGTGGAATTAACTTTCCATTCCAGCCCTCTTGTTGTTGAAATTGTTGGAACCAAGCTGCAGGCAGCCATGAGCAACTTTTATAAACAGAGGGATTGTGTGTGGTTGTATCTTGTTTTCTTGCAGCAGCCTCTCTGGTGTGCTGTGGGTGGGATACTCACAGAGTGCATCATCACCAGACTCCTCAAGGCTCAGCATGGAGGAGGTTGCAGAGGGAGTGTGAAGATAGGTCAGGAGAAGGCGGGACCAGTGTTTCAGCTCTTTCTGAATAAGGCCTTCGTGGTATTGTTTTGGAATTTTGTTTGAAATGAATTCCGAGAAGCTAAGGTGAAAACATAAATGCATAAACATCTTCTGAAGTCAAATAATTTTAAATAGAATTTCATTTTGGATTTTCTTTGCTTCTGCCCCTCCCCCATTGGTACAGTTTATAGTTGAAAAGAGTTTACGTTCTATTTAGACCTTTGGGTGAGAGTATTTTTGGAAGGTGAGCCAGCTGTAATGCCTGGAGTTAAGCACTCAATTCAGGGGTAGGATTTTGTTAGGAATTTTTTTTAAGCATGATATATTGAGGTATAATTTATATACCACAAAATTCAACTTTTCAAGGTGTCCAAGTCTGTTAATTTTGACAAAGTTATATAGTCATCCTAACCCCTAAAACAATCAGCATATCACATATTTCCATCACCTCAACAAGTTCTTTCCCTTGTAGGCAATTCATCATTCCGAGGTGAGTTTTCTGAGTTTAGTACATTTCTGGGCCAGGAAGTCTTTGTCAGAGTTTGGAAAATTTTTTTAGAGACGGGGTTTCGCTTTGTTGCTCAGGCTGGTCTTGAACTCCTGGACTCAAGTGATCTTCCTGCCTCAGCCTCCTGAGTAGCTGGGATTTCAGAGCCTTGAATTTCTTTCATTTCCCACTGAAAAGCCAGTTGAAACTGGTACAAAGTGAGGTTACCTTTGGTGTCTTAACCAAAAGGAGATCTGGGTTTTCAGACTGGTGCCCTGGAACAGTATTAGGAAGTCTTGGGGGGAGAGCTGTGTGACTGGCAGCTCAGAGAGGGGAATGGGCCCTCTTGAGTGCCAGGCAGAGTCCCTCACCTGAGGAGGCCCACTTGTTAGCTGTGATGGCTTTTACCCACACCTTGGTGCAATTGTGAAGAAATCAGAGGACTTCGAGGTGGAAGATTGCATGTACATCCTGTAATGCTGTTCTCAGGTTGGAATATGTTCCCTGGGACCTCCTAATCCTAGAGGCAGGCCCAGAGGGAAAACTTACTCTGAGCTGGCTCTTGTTCAGGTCAAGAGCCTTCTTCTTGGCTCCCAAATGAAAATCAACTCTGCATGTGAATTCCTTCCTTTTGAAATGGACTTGCTAATTACCACTCAAGGTGTTTTACTCTTTTAATATACTGGGTAGGGAGAGGTCCAGAGGGATTTCTTATTGCTTTGTAGGCCGGTGAATTCTATAGCCAAATCTATTTAAGGAATTGCCTTAATTATCTTACTTTCCCCTTTAAATTTTAGGCTTTATTGTAAGAGTGTTTCTGATAATGACTAGGATTTGCTTTGTTTTGCAGTGCATCTGCAACTGGGTGTTGTGGTGATTTAAGTGCATACATGCTCATTTCTCCCCTTTATTTTCTCCGTGTGCTTTCTCACCCGCTAGGAAACCCAGGTTGACAAGAACTCAAAGTGCCTTTTCTCCGGTCTCCTTCAGCCCCCTGTTCACAGGTAAGGGTGATATCTTTTTCTTTCTTCTGACATCTGAAAGCAGGAGTATTCTGAGACCTGTTGGGAAATACACTTACAGATGTATCTCAGAGGGAGCTTCAAGCCTGTCTGCAGTTATTTCCTTCATTCTCTGCCCACTGGGTTTGAGACTTTTTTATGGTGTGGAATGTGTTCTTGACTTTGCTTTATAGTTGCATAGAAAGGCTGCTTGTTGGTAATTGGGTGGCCCTAGCAGTTATGCAGTGCTTAGTTCAGGGTCACTACATATAAATTAAAAGTAGGAATTACAAATTTATGGGCTCACAGTGCATAAAAGACTCTCTAGAAGTCATACAATTCCTGTCCCTGCTTCCAAGGGAGTTCATGATTATCTAATAAAAATGATCCATGATTATCTGATCTATTTTTAAAGACTTTGGATGAAGGGGATTACATGAGCTCTTGTCTTACCCATTTTTGGGGCAAGCAGTTCTTGCAGCTGTTAGAGTTCTTTACTGTACCTAATTTAAGTCTCTCCTCTTGCAGCCGGGAACATAGTTGCTAAAGTAGGAAGGCTGTTGAATGTCTTTTGGGTAATGGGTAATTGTCTTCTCATTTCATGGGTAAAGGCTCCCGTTTTTAGAGAGGGAGACCTTCTGTTAGATCAGTCAGATGTGAAGCTCCTGCTTGAATAAAGTGTAGAAAAGATGATCTTTACCACACTGCCTCAAGTCTCAGAGACTGAGCACTCATTGGTTGTGACTGAGAAGCCTTTAAAAAAAAAAAAAATCCCAAACTCCTTTGGATATTGTGTCCCTCAAAAAGGTGATTGGAAGAATTATGATTTGGGAATGGACATTTCCAGGAAGATGTTAAGCAGGCCACTGGGACCCCCAGTTGGGTAGACTGCCATGAGCTGTCAGAACAAGTGAGTTGGTACCTGTATAGATATCTGCTGTAGTGGAGAAGGAGGTCTCTGTTCTTACCCAAGCCTAGAGGTAAAAAATCTTATCCCGTGGCAGCATGTCTTTCTAGTTAATAGTTGTTTCTTCCTTAAAGTAAGGAACACCCACACTTGTAGTTTCAGGTTCAGGGCAGCCTTAGCCCCCTTGAATTACATCCTTTATGTAAGTGCTGTACCTACAGTCTAGACCTCCCTGACCTGTCAGGAAACACACTTGTCTGGCCGGTTGCATTGTTCTGGGCAGCTAGGCTCTCGGTTACCAAGCTGTGTGTTGAGTCCAGTACCAGCTTCCTAGAATGTCCACATGACTTTTAGAAGAGCTTTTCTGTTTATCTTAGTATTTGAGACCTTTGTAAAAAAACTATGCATTTAGGTTCTGAAAACCTAAATACTCAGGAGGTAATGGTCATCTCATTATCTTTACTGGGAAGCATTATAATACTAGCTGAGGGGATAATTCAGCCCTGAATAAGAAAAGGGTGTTGGAAGCAACACTCTAAGGGCTAAATTAGAGAAATCCTACATTCTGACCTGTGGATCAGGCCTGCCAAAGCAAACCTATTCCTGGCTATTAACCTGTGTTAATAAAATACCCTTCCTCCTCTGATGACTCAAGGAGAGGAGTGGCAACAGGTAGTGTATATGGTAGAGAACAGAACTACATGACATGCTGGGAAGTTAAGAGAAGCCATGTGCCACATCCCTTCAAGTTTCTATGGAGAAGCTTCCTCTAAGATTACCTGACTTTTGGCTGACTGTGAAAATTGTTGATTTTTAGGGTTGTAAATGCACTTTCAGCCTTTGTAGCTTTAGCTATTAAGAACTGATATCTTAAATGGTAGATTCTCTCATGGGTGAATACTCTGGAAGATCTGGATGTGGAAAGCCATCTAGGAAGAAACTGGGGCTAATGTTGGAAGCTTTATCTGGATTCAACTCACCTTGCACTTCTTATATCTTTCTGGCACTTGCTTTCCATGTCTGTTTGGGCGTATAACAAGCCACTTGCCTTGTTCCTAAGGCAGAGATTGGTATACACGTCTGAAGAGATAAATAATGCGGGTTCCATTGGATAAAGAGGACCCCTTTTTTAATGTTAGATCATAAGTCAGTGACAGAACTAGAATTACATGGCTTTTCCACTGTCAATTCCATGTTTTTGTCCCAAAGAATTCTTGACCCTTAACAGGGCAAAGGAATGATAGAATTTAAAATTTTACTTTCCTGGCGATCAGGGGTGATTTCAGCCCTGGGGAGCATTCCATTTTGAGCTTTTTGAGAGCCGTGGACCTGTAGCCTTGTTGCTTGCCCTTTGCTACCTTCGCTTTCAGCCTCAGCTTTGGGCAGGGTGCTTCTTTAACACGCTTGCTCCGTGAATCCTTCAGGTGAAACAGTGTCGCTTGTGGACGTGGACATTTCTCAGCGGGGCCTGACCTCTCCACACCCTCCAACTCCCCCTCCTCCTCCGAGAAGAAGCCTCAGCCTCCTAGGTATAGTCTGCTCCACTCTCTGCCTTCTTGCCCTAGTGGGAGGGTGACCTCCCAGGACTTGTTCTTGGCTGGCCAGGAGCCAACCAAGCATCTGGGTTTCTGATGATGACTGTCCCTTTCTCAGCACCTCTATCATCTGTCTAAGTAGTTAAATGGGTCTCTTACCTGCATGCTGTAATATTTACTGTCCATATATTAATTAGATTTACGTTTATCTTGCCCTGAATCTACTGCTATTGGGCTGCTTTAGGAATATCCTTACTCTGCTGATTTCTAAGCAAAGCAAACCAGATTAAGATGATTGTTGCCTTCTGTAAAAAGCTGGGATGAAGGTCAGGCCATGTTGCCTCAGAGGGCAACCTGATAATCCTTCTCCCTCTCCTCTGCCTTCACCTTGCCCATTCTGTGCTCATATTTCTGAACCTCTTGCTTTTGTTCTCTCTTCTAGATGATATCAGTGGGACGCTGCCTACATCTGTCCTTGTGGCTCCGATGGGGTCTTCCTTGCAGTCTTTCCCCCTACCTCCGCCTCCTCCACCCCATGCCCCAGGTTAGCTTAGTTTAGAGACAAGACTTATAAGAGTTGGGAGTACAAAGTGATACTCTGTACTATGAAAGGATGGGAGAAATCTATTTATGGAAATAACAGTTTAGGAGAAAGCTTAAATTTTTTCTCCTTGGCTGGACCAGACTCCTTGGAAATGAGGCTGAGAACTGGTTTTTCTAACCTGTTTTCTTTATGGAATGAATCTGACTTTTATTAGGGATAAAAAACTATTGAGTTTTTCATCTCTTTGCTGCTGAGACTGTTTTGCAATCCTTGAGTAGATGTCACTTAAGAAACTGCCTTAATGCCAGGATAGTGAGGAGGTTTAATGTGTTGCTGTTTTTCAAGGTTCTGTGGTTTTTCTAAGCTTTTAGTATTTACTGCAGCCTTGTAAATAAGTACCAAGCATTTAGTAGCCCATGCCTGCTTTGCCAGCTTCCAGTACCCAAGGAAAAAAATGAATGAAATCGGCATTCTTTTCTGCTTGCCTGGCAAAATCGTTACTCTTCCTGGGCAAGTAAGCGAGTCACTATTTCCAAGGCTGCTTTATCGGCACTTCACTTCGAGGTGGGAGAAGTTGGAATCGCTCTAGGCTGGTGAAGGCCCTGAAGTAGTCACCTTAGTCAGGTTAGTGAGCAGCTCCCCTCTCCTTTCCTGGGGTTAAGTGCCCCCACCCATCCTTCACAGCTTACACGAGCCCACACAGCTTTTTGTTCTAGCCCATCCAGCTCTTTCCCACTGCTTTGGCTTCCACCCTTTCCAGCTTAGCTTCTAATGCCTCGCCCCTCTTCAGTTAGCATCTGTTTTGGGGGGAGGGTCTGCTTGTGGTTGGGAGCAACGAGGCCAAATAAGTGACCACACTCTCTTGCCCTGCAGATGCATTTCCCCGGATTGCTCCCATCCGAGCAGCTGAATCCCTGCACAGCCAGCCCCCCCAGCACCTCCAGTGTCCCCTCTACCGGCCTGACTCCAGCAGCTTTGCAGCCAGCCTTCGAGAGTTGGAGAAGGTAGGTGGTGCCTGAGGACTGGCAGCTCCCCTCTCTTCCACTGGCCAAATTCTGTACCTAGGCCCTCCTTTATTGTTTTTAGAGGAGGAGTGGTTTACTTGCCACCATATTTACAGTGACAGAACAGTATGCTGCTGTTATTAATTGCATAAGAGATGTAATGAAATCGAATTTGGGATAAAAGATTTGGACATGATAAAGGAAGATTGTGGAGAAATGTTTACATAGTCTAAGGTGATTTTGATAGATAACTGACTCCATTCCCTCTTCTTTTCTGGATGGAGCCCTTGGTAATGGAATTGTAGAATTATTCTTTTGTTATCTTGGAGTACTGAAAGTATAATGAGCCTGGCATTCATTGCTAATGGTCGAGACACTTGTAGTGGCTTTTACCTATTGAAATGTTTTGGAGAATGGGGGATTTTTCCATGGTAAGATAGATTGTACTGAAAACTTTGACATTTCTCTGTTCTGATAACAGTTGACTGCTTCTTGTCTTTGATAGTGTGGTTGGTATTGGGGGCCAATGAATTGGGAAGATGCAGAGATGAAGCTGAAAGGGAAGCCAGATGGTTCTTTCCTGGTACGAGACAGTTCTGATCCTCGTTACATCCTGAGCCTCAGTTTCCGATCACAGGGTATCACCCACCACACTAGAATGGAGCACTACAGAGGTAAGAGATGCTAGTGTTTTAGGAGAGCCTTCGCCCCAACCCCCTTTGCCTTTCTCCACCTTTGCTGTCTGACTTTTCAAAGGAAGGATACATAGGAATGGAACTATGAGTAGGGAAAGATCTCTTAGACTCAATTGAATGTTGATATGGGCACTGATTTCAGTCACTAGAAGAAAGGTTGTGGGGGTAAAAGGGAAGGGAGAGTAAGGGTTCCATTCAAAAGTCTTCTCAGCATCTTGTCTCCTAATAGGAGGGCCTGAACAGAGCCATTGAAGAGTCTTCCAAGAATAGAGCCAGTAAAACTCTTTAGGTAGAAGGAAGAAACAACCTAGGACCATTAGACAGATTCTCCCAAGCTTTGCTTATAATTAACCTTACCATTTAGAGATATTTTCTGTTAAAATATACATACAAAGAGGAGAATATAGTACTGGTCCTGTGACTGTTCTGTTCTGAATTTCTTTGCCGGATAGTCACTTCCTCCCAGGCAGCATGATGATGTTCATATCCTCTTTAGGTCAGGTTTATAGTTTCAGGAAATATTCATCAAAATGCTGAGCATTTATGAGATCAATGTGCTTTAGACTATTAGCCATCTTCCTGGTGGTGGTACTTCAAGTTCTGGTCATGCCTAGAAGTTGACTTGTTAAATGCAGCTCTCTGGATTGACTTTGCATCTGAGCATTCTGTATTTGGGGCCAGAAACTTGTGATGGTCATTGGTTGTGGGGCTGGGTAATACATGCTTTGTCAAAATACCTGATTATGCTACAAAAAAAAAATGTAGAGAACTTTGGGGAGTTTCAGGGACTTGCCCCTCCCATCCCTCACAGTCTTCCCACGTGTGTTCAACCTTAAACAAATTTCTATTAGACATTGTGTCTCAAATAAAAGCCCATGTCACGCTCTTCTCAGGCACCACGGAGTCTTCCCACTCTTAGCCTGTGCTATGTTGGATTTATTTGCATCTGGTTCCCTTGTAAGGCAGGAAGTAGCTGTTTAGGTCAGCATAGCTTTGTCTGCGGTTTCTTCTGCCCCCATCTCTTCAAGTTTTTTTTTTGGAGACAGAGTCTCACTCTGTTACCTGGGCTAGATTGCCATGGTGTCAGCCTAGCTCACAGCAACCTCAAACTCCTGGGCTCAAGCGATCCTACAGCCTCAGCTTCCCGAGTACCTGGGACTACAGGCACGCGCCACCATGCCCGGCTATCTTCTGCCCCCATCTCTACCGTAGAGATGAACGAAGAGAAAGGGACTTGAGTCCAAAGGCCTGAGAATGAATTAAATAACTGTGTGTGTGTGGGTCTACTACCTATTTTCCTGCTGTTCCTAAAAACAGAAATCAAACACAAGTAAAGTACAAAACAAAGCATTTCAGAGTGAAGTATTTTGTTAAACCTATTAAAATGACTAGGCCATGGGAATGATGAATAAATGCTTGACCTTGAAGTTCCTGATAGATGAGATGCCAGGAGTGAGAGCCCTTTCAGATGGTTCTCCAATTACTTTTATTCAAAGAGACTTTTCTTCCTTGAATAAATGGAATTTTAACAGAAGTCTGTGGGCCTTTCAGTTGCCAGTTTGCAGTGGAACATTTGTCTTCTTTTTAAGTGATACTGTAAGAGTAGCTAGAGAGACTCAAATCTGCAGAAAATTGTTTTGAGTAATTAGTATCCCTTTTTTGTATCCTTTTTGTGGGTGATTCCTTTGGAATCTAGGGCTTTAGTTTTCGGAGTTTGTTGTTTTGTTTTTTTATGTCATGGGAGTTAAGATTCCCCTTTCCCTTTGGAATTCTAAAGTTTCAGGTGGGATCTTTGTAACATGTTGGGGCATGGGATTTTAGACGTTAAGGAAGGAAAGACTTAGATTTTTATTTTCTGTGCCTGACACATATATGAATAAGACCTGCAGAACTGCTCCTGTCTTTCTTTGAGTATTCCATATGGTCTTTATAGGAAGTATATACAGTTGACCCTTGAACAAACTGGATTTGAACTGCAAGGGTCTACTTATATGTGGATTTTTTTCAATAAATATATTAGAAAATTTTTTGGAGATTTGCAACTATTTGAAAAAACTCACAGATGACTGTATAGCCTAGAAATATCAAAAAAATTAAAAAGTTAGGTATATCATGAATGTATAAAATATTTGTAGGTATTAGTCTCTCTTAACATTTCCTACCACAAAATATACATACATGTATTATAAAAAGTTAAAATTTATTAGAAGTTATACACACAGGCCATACACTCACAGCACCTTTGCAGTTGGGAGAAATGCGAACGAACATAAAGATGCTGTATTAAATCATAACTGCATACAATTAAGTATAGTATGTATTATACTGTTACATATATAGTTTTGTGGTTTTTTTTTTTTTTTTTTTGAGACAGGGTCTGGCTCTGTTGCCTGGGCTAGAGTGCAGTGGTTCATCATAGCTCACTGCAACCTCACATTTCTGGGCTCAAGCTATCCTCCGGCCTCAGCCTCCCAAGTAGCTGGGATTATAGGCATGTACCACCATGCCTGGTTGGTTTTTTGTAGAGATGGTGTTTTTTTTTTTTTTTTGGATATGGGTTTTGTTCTGTTGCCTAGGCTGGAGTACAGTGGTGCAATTATAGCTCACTGTAGCCTCAAACTCCTGGGTTCAAGTGATCCTCCTGCTTCAGCTTCCTGAGTAGCTAGGACTATAGAAATAAGCCACCACGCACAGCTAATTTTTTAATTATTTTGTAGACATGGGGTCTCACTATGTTGCCCAGGCTGGTCTTGAACTCCTGGCCTCAAGTGATCCGCCCACCACAGCTTCCCAAAGTGCTGGGATAATAGGCATGAGCCACCATGTCCAGTCCTGTAATAATTTTGTAGCCACTTCCTGTTGCTGTTGCAGTGAGCTCCAGTGTTGCGTTGCTTGAAATGTCTTGTGGCACTAATCATCTCCACATGAGTAATTGTCTCTCTAGCAAATTGTGTATTGCAGTAAAAAGTGATCTCTTGCAATTCTCTTAATTATTATTCATCGTGTTTAATACATTATTGTAAACCTTGAATATCGCCATCGAATTCATATGAAGAGCCACTAATGATGCTGGAAGTGCTTCCCCAAAACAGAAAAGCCACGACATTACAAGAAAAATTGTAATTGCTTGATATGTGTAGTGGATTGAGGTCTAACCATTTCAAGATAAATGAATCCAGTGTAAGGACCATTGTAAAAAAAGAAAAGGAAATTCATGAAGCTGTTGATGCAGCTATGCCGGCAGGTACAAAAACCTTGCACTTTTTGTGAGATGCCTTTTAATCTCATATTGAAAATGCAGCTTTTATGTGGGTGCTGGATTGCTATAAGAAGGGCATACCTATAGCCTTTAATAAGTTTTAAGAAAAAGCAAAGTCATTATATGACAACTTAAAGCAAAAGGAAGGTAAAGGAATTAAAGCTGGAGAACTTAATGCCAGCAAAGGATGGTTTGATAATTTTAGAAAAAGGTTTGGCTTAAAAAACAACAAGGTAACAGAAGCAGCAGCTTCTACTGACCAAGAGGCAGCAGACAAGTTCCCAGATACCATTAAGAAAACAATTGAGGAGAAATAATATCTATCTGAACAGGTTTTTTTAATGCAGACGAAGTGCCCTATTCTGGAACAAAGTACCACAAAGGACATTTATTAGTAAGGAAGAAAAGCAAGCACCAGGATTTAAGGCAGGAAGGGATAGGCTAGCTGCCGTTTTGTGCAAATGCACTTGGGTTTATGATCAGGATTGCCCTTATCTATAAAGCTGTTAATCCCCAAGCCTTGAAGGGAAAAGATAAACACCAGCTGCCAGTCTTGTGGTTGTGCAACAAGAAGGCCTCGACAATGAGAACCCTTTTTCTGGGTTGGTTCCATTGACACTTGGTTCTTGAAGTTAGGAAGTACCTTGCCTTTTAAAGTTCTTTTGATATTTGGCCATCCAGAACCCCATGAGTTCAACACTAAAGGTGTCAAAGTGGTCTACCTGCCCCGAAACACAACATCTCTAATTGAGCCTCTAGATCAGAGATTCATAAGGACCATTAAAATTAAGGCTCATTACACATAGTACTCTTTTTTTTTGAGACAGAATCTCACTCTCTTTCCTGGGCTAGAGTGCCGTGGCATCAGCCTAGCTCACAGCAACCTCAAACTCCTGGGCTCAAGAGATCCTCCTGCCTCAGCCTCCCGAGCAGCTGGGACTACAGGCATGTGCCGCCATGCCCGGCTAATTTTTTTTTCTATATATTTTTAGTTGTCCAGCCAATTTCTTTCTATTTTTTTAATAGAGACGGGGTCTTGCTCTTGCTCAGGCTGGTCTCAAACTCCTGAGCTCAAACGATCCACTCACCTTGGCCTCCCAGAGTGCTAGGATTACAGGTGTGAGCCACCATGCCCAGCCAACACACATAGTACTCTATAGAAAGGATTGTCAATGATGTGGAAGAAAACCCCGAGAGAACATCACGGATGTCTGGAAGGATTCCACCATTGAAGATGACGTCATTGTTATAGAAAAAGTAGTGAAAGCCATCAAGCCCAAAACAATAAATTCCTGCTAGAGAAAACTGTGTCCAAATATTGTGCATGACTTCACAACAGGATTTATGACAGAGCCAATCGAAGAAATCATGAAACAGATCCTGGATGTGTCCCAAAAAAAGGTGGGGGGGGGGGTTTGAAGGATTTCAAGATATGGATCTTAGAGAAATTCAAGAGCTGATAGACAACACACCAGAGGAATTAACAGAAGATGACTTGATGGTGGTGAGTGCTACTGAGACAGTGCCAGACAGTAAGGAAGAAGACATAGAGGGAGCAGCGCCAGAAGATACATTGACATTAGACAATCTGCTAGAATGTTCCAATTATTCAAGACCACTTTTGACTTCTTTGATGACATGGGCTCTTCTGTGATATGGGCACTAAAACTAAAGCAAATGGTGGAAGGATTGGTACTATAGAGAAATATTTTTAAAGAAGTGAAAAAGCAAAATAAATCAGACAAATTATAATGTATACTAGGTGTGCCTGCCTCTCCTGCCTCCCCTCTACCTCTTCCACCTCTGCCACCCAAGACACCCTCCTCAGCCTGCTCAATGTGAAGATGAGGATGAAGACCTTTATGATAATCCACTCCTATTTAATGAATAGTAAATATATTTTCTCTTCCTTATGCTTTTCTTTTCTTTCTTTCTTTCTTTCTTTCTTTCTTTTTTTTTTTTTTTGAGACAGAATCTTGCTCTGTCACCCTAGCTAGTGTAGTGTTGTGATCGTAGCTCACAGCAACCTCAAACTCCTGGGCTCAGGTGATCCTCCTGCCTCAGCCTCCTGAGTAGCTGGGACTACAGGCACACACCACTGTACCTGGCTAATTTTTCTATTTTTAGTAGAGATGGGGTCTCAATCAGTGATCCTCCAGCCTCAGTCTCCCAGAGTGCTAGGATTACAGGCATGAGCCACTGTGCCCAGCCCTTATGATTTTCTTTTTCTTTTTTTTCTTTTTGCAACAGAGTCTCACTCTGTTGCCCAGGCTAGAGTGCCATGGTGTCATCATAGCTCACAGCAACCTCAGACTCCTGGGCTCAAGCAATCCTACTGCCTCAGCCTCGCGAGTAGCTGGGACTATAGGCATGCGCCACCATGCCCGGCTAATTTTTTCTATATATTTTTAGTTGTCCAGCTAATTTTTTTTCTATTTTTAGTGGAGACGGGGTCTCGCTCTTGTTCAGGCTGGTCTCGAACTCCTGAGCTCAAACAATCCGCCCGCCTCGGCCTCCCAGAGTGCTGGGATTACAGGCGTGAGCCACCGTGCCTGGCCCCTAACCTGAAATCTTGATGCTTTAAAATCCAGAACTTTTTGTGTGCCAATGTGATGCTCAAAGGAAATGCTCATTGGAGCATTTTAGCTTTCCAGTTTTCAGATGAGGGATGTTCAGCTAGTAAGTAAGTATGATGCAAATATTCCAAAATCTGAAAAAATCGAAAATCTGAATATTTCTAGTCCCAGGCATTTCAGGTAAGGGATACTTAACCTGTATTTACTTGTTTAACAAAAACTTTGTAAGACCTAATTTGTGTCTTCAAAAGGCAACATCTTTCTTCCTACCAATTGTGGGATAAGCAGAAACAGATGGCTTTAGGGACTTTTCACCCAGCTAGCCCACAAATTGCCCTTCCAAAAGTGAGAATCATTGTTAAAGTGTTTAGCCTTTCATATCTTCTAAAGTAAGTTTTAAAATTTTCATTTCTTAATTTTCCGCGGCAGGAACCTTCAGCCTGTGGTGTCATCCCAAGTTTGAGGATCGCTGTCAGTCCGTTGTAGAGTTTATTAAGAGAGCCATTATGCACTCCAAGAATGGGAAGTTTCTCTATTTCTTAAGATCCAGGGTTCCAGGTAAGTCTGTAGTTATAGTAATTATTTAACTTGGGTATGATCCAGTGTAGTATCACAATGCGCCCCCCCTCAAAAGGCCACATTTACTTAAAGCTCTTTTCCCTGGCTGTTATAGCAACTACTCTTCCTACAGAATCCGGTGGTTAATCCCCTGCCTTTGTACATTAATCCCTTAATACACTGAGGAGGAATCTTTGCTTCTCTGGCCACTTGAATGAGAAAACTGCTCCTACCTTAGGTATCCAGGCATCATGTGAACATTTGACATTCAGAGGTGTTTCCTTGTCCCTGATCCAGGCATATCGATACTTAAATGTGAAACAGAGAAGTGAGAGCTCTTAGGTCATTTCCACAGGAACATGGAAGGTAAGAGAGTGTTCACCAGAAAGGCAGTGGAGAGTGTCAAGGTGCCTGAATTCAGTTGCACTCTGTTAGGAAGTATCTGCTGTGGGTTTTACCCATGTTGTACTAAACTTGCTATCAAAGAGTATACTTTTTATTGTATCTTGCCATTCCTAGCATTGTTGAATACAAAGACTTCTCTCCATTTGGGAGCACTGAGGAGTTCCCATCCTTGTTGGTGTGGTTATGTAGTCCTCCTGCCCACTAAGTTAGGGAGGTATCTGTATAATTTCTGTTGGAGGGGTAGAAGGGATGGTTTGGAGGAATCTGCTTTTACAGTGTTGGATAAAGCAAAATGACAGGCACATTCACGTGAGGAATTTGTAAGATACAAACAACTTAAAATGAGAACTTCATGCTTTCCCATTGAATCAAATTAAGATTGATAAACAAGGTGCCAAGAAATTGCTTTAAAATGTAGGAGTTGCAGGAGAGCCTCAGGCAGAACATCAGGAACAGGATTGAGCCAGGTGACAGGGATGGTTTATAAGCTTGGTGATTTAAATAAGGCATGACAGGGTGTGAACTGCATTAATTCTCACTTCATTTAGTATTTGCCTCAGTGCTGTCAACACAGCTGGGTCTTGTGTAGTTGACTTGGTTAAAGGGAAAAGTTAGAATCCTTCCTTATAGGAATTGATTCTGCTTAGCAATTTTTAAAGTTTGTAGCTTTTGGGGCAGGGTATTTATTTAACAAACATTTATTTTGTAACTCAGTGTCAAATATTTATTTTATAACTCAGTATGCCCTTAGAACTCATAGCGTCAAAGAGGGGACAAGTAGGAAGACAAAGGCAAGAGCACATATTCAAGTCAGTGCAAAGCATGGTCATGACCAAAAGGGATGGGGTAGTCAGCTCTGCTGTGTACAAAACTGGGAAATCTCAGAGAGGATTCTGGACTCTGGAGCATTTCTCTACTTATAGAGTATTAAACGGCTTCATTGAATCTTGGACTCCTCAAGTTCAGCTTGTTTCATTCCACAAATGTGCCCTGTCTGCAGAAATTTTAACTAAGATTCTTAACATTGTAGTAAAGGCTAGAGCTTGTACTATTTGTTACTGTTTATTGAGTGCCTATTATGTGCCAGGTACTTTGGTCAGGTTCTTTATTTAAATGTCTCTGATTTAGGCCGGGCCCGGTGGCTCACGCCTGTAATCCTAGCTCTCTGGGAGGCCGAGGTGGGCGGATTGTTTGAGCTCAGGAGTTCGAAACCAGCCTGAGCAAGAGCGAGACCCCATCTCTACTAAAATTAGAAAGAAATTAATTGGACAACTAAAAATATATAGAAAAAATTAGCCAGGCATGGTGGCGCATGCCTGTAGTCCCAACTACTCGGGAGGCTGAGGCAGAAGGATTGCTTGAGCCCAGGAGTGTGAGGTTGCTGTGAGCTAGGCTGACGCCACGGCACTCACGCTAGTCCGGGCAACAGAGTGAGATTCTGTCTCAAAAAAAAAATAAATAAAAATAAATAAATAAAAATATCTCTAATTTTTTATAGCAATCTCAAAGTTAGATAAAATAGATCAGTCTATTTAAAGAAATAGATAAGACTGTTTTCATTTTGCCAGTGACGAAACTGGGCTGAAGCTCAAAATTTAAATTACTTAGCCTAAAGGTAACATAGCTGATTGTTGCTGAAGCCAGAATTCAAACCCCTGCCCAACTAACTACAAAGTCTATTTATTTACCACCACTCTTTCATGGGAAAAGTTACAGTAATCAAATTGAAAATTGAGTTTGTTAGCATTTGTAGAAACTACATAAAGAAGGTAGAACCATGTTTATAAGTGGGGGGGGGTATCTTTCTAGAACCTATGATGAATGCTACAGGTAGGATATCTATTTGCACTTAAAATTGTAATCAAGTTGTGTCTGGGCTCAGTGGCTCACGCCTGTTATCCTAGCACTTTGGGAGGCCAAAACAGGAGGATCACTTGAGTCCAGGAGTTCAAGACCAGCCTGGACAACATAGTGAGACCCCATCTCTACAAAAATAAAAAAATTAGCCATGCTTGGTGGCACATACCTGTAGTCCTACTGCTCGGGAGGCTGAGGCAGGAGGATCACTTGAGCCCAGGAGTTCAAGGCTGCAGTGAGCTATGATGGAGCCACTGCACTGCAGCCTGGGTGACAGAGCAAGACCCTGTCTCTAAAAAAAATTATAATCAAGCTGAGAAGGCAAAGCAGAGTTATTTGCCCTTCAACTGTAAGTGACCTACCTCTCTTTGAAGGATTGGGACAGAGAAGACAAAGCCAGTGATCTCCTTTACCATTGTTTGCTGCCCTCTTTTGCTTATCATGAAGGTGTAGGCATTGTGTGAGCTTAACTTTATTAGGGGAGAGGATTGGGGTAAGAAGTAGTCATTAGCATTTAGGTTGAACTCTGTCAGTCTGCAGCAGGGATTTTAACTCAGTAGATTCTAAAATGAGCCTGTGTGTTCAGACTTGGGAATGACGGTAACTGAATGCCTATAAGGGGCCAGGTGTTACTTCATTTAACCCTTACAAAATCCTTTGAGGGGATATTACAGTCACCTCTTTTTTTTTTTTTTTTTTAAAGCAGCTTAAGAAACTAAGGTACAGTGAGTTGCAGAGCCGGATGCAATCAATCTCGGGTTTTTCTGGCTCAAATCTCAGAGCTGGATGCACTAGGAGGGCATTGAGCCTGGTGTCAAGGGGATGCCAGGGATCATAGAATTGCATAGCTAACACTAATGGGAAAGTTCTGGATGGTGACAAATAAGGAGCAGAAGGAAATTAATTAGAATAAATTGAATAATTAGCATCTCAGGGAGGGACCCTTGGTAAAAATGATGGTCTCTGAGCTTGGTTCCATCTTCTCCCTTTTTATTGTAATATTGGAGCATGGTCCCAACAGATCTGAGGTCACTGGTTACATCTCAGTCAGCCCCCATCCATTTCACAGTTATAAACTGAACCCCTAATGCTAGACAGCAGTCTCTTAAAAAAGAGAGTGTGACTGGTTTTGCCCAAAACCTCTGATCCTGTTAGAGCAGACTGAGAGTGAACTTCTCCTTTTTAGTTGGGAGAATCTTCATCATCTGTGAAGTACATGAAGAAAAAATACCTTTTAAAAAAAAAATCACACTTTGAATTGGATAACTCTTTAAGGAAATTCGTTACTTCCTCTTTTATAACCATCAGTAAGCTTATGATTACTTATTCAGTGACATGTCTTCCCTGTATGTCAACGTTTCTCAACTCAGCACTATTGACATTTTAGGCTGCACAACTTTTTGTTATGGAGTCTGTCCCGTACATTGGAGGAAGTTTAGCAGTAGCTCTGGCTTCTACCCACTACATGCCAGGAGCACCCCCCCACCAAGTTGTGGCAATCAAAATTATGTCTCCATATGCCCCTGGGGGTCAAAATTGTGCCCAGTTGCAAACCACTGCTGTATACTATGGGGGTTAAAAAGTATGGTTTCTGGGGTCAGAGTGCCACCCCTGGTCCTGTTGGTTAATAGCTGTGTGATCTTAGGCATGTTACTGATTACTGAACCTCTCCTGCCTCAGTTTTCTCATCAGTAAAATGGGGGTGATAATAGTACCTAATCTTACAGAGTTGTTTTGAGAAATGCAAGAAATAATTCATTTAAAATATTGAAGACAGTGCCTGGCACAGAGTAAGGACTCAACAGATGTTACTTTTTCTCAGTGGTCTGTAAAGATGTAGGTGCATAGGAAGTGTTTAATGTGGTATCCGTGGTGGTCTCTTAGCCCTATAAAGGAGGTACTCAGGATACATTTGTAGAATCACACTCTGGGTGGCCCCTGGGATATCCTTTGTTGTTATTTTATCTTCCCTATCCAATTGCCAGGTCCTCCAGGACAAGAACTGTCTTTGCCTTGCTCTGTATTATTTTGTTTATTAGAACATTGACACATTTGCTGATGAGATATCACACATATTCAGAATAAATTCTTTCATGAACGCTTGTGAAAGAATTTAGGACTCCTTTCCTGGGGATTTATGACCAGAGTTTCTGGGCATCTCCCTGGTGTGGTTTGTCCTTGTTTCTGGGGTACAGAGTCATGTCATTGATTGGGCTCCCTTCCTTTCTCTGGCTATCCTTTTTCAAGCAACTCTGTAAGACTCCCTCATGTGTATTTGCAAACCACACTTACTCTTGGCTTATTTTCTTCTTTATGTTTGTTTGTTTGGTATGCAGAGTCGTATAATAAACCTTATGTACCCATCACCCAGCCCCAACAACCATTAGCCCACGGCCACTCCTGCCCTGTTTACGTACCTATCTACTCCCTCATTGCATACTAGTATTTCTGTTTAAGTATACTTCATTGAAATGTAATATACATTAAAATGCATAGATCAGTTTTTATGCACAGTCCTTATTATTTTGGATCAAACCCCAGATATCTTATCATCTGTGAATATTTCAGTTTCTCTGAAAGGTAATGACTTTTTTAAAAAAACTTAATTTTAGAATATGTTTAGATTTATAGAAAAATTATAAAGATAACACAGAGAGTTCCTATATACCCCCATGACCGGTTTCCCCTGTTATTAACATGTGACATTAGCATGACACATTTGTCATAATTAATGAACC